TAATGGCTTTAAACTGAAAGAGAGTAGGTTTAGATTAGATATCCCTCACCTCGTGGGGGTGGTGAGGCCCTGGCACAGGTTGCCCAGAGAAGCTGTGGCTGCCCCATCCCTGGAAGAGCTCAAGACCAGGTTGAGTAAGGCTTGGAACAACCTGGGATAGTGGCATCCCCAGGCCATGGCAGGGGGGTTGGAACTAAACAATCTCTGAGCTTTGTTGCAACACAAACCAATCTATAATTTGTCAGGACTAGAGAGGCCCTTATGCCAATAGTCTCCAAATCACAGCTTACGAGCCAACTTTGCTCATAAAACTGTGTTCAATTGCTTAATGCAATGGGAAATAAATCATAATTTTTTTAAGAGTTAGACTGAAGACAGAAGGAAAAAAAATCTCAAAAACTGGAGTTGTCCAAGGTATGTAATTTTATTAGTGTTACTGCTAAGGGGTAAATGGATGTTGTGGACCACTACATTTCAGGGTGTTTTCCTTTCTTCCCTAATTTTCAAAACCTTGTTAACCACATAAACTGTGCTTAATCTCTTAGAAAAAAACCCTGCCCTTCTAACAATTAAAGAAGCACAGGCTGAAAAAAAACCAAAAACTGTGTCCTCAAGGTCAGCAAAGTGACTTTGGTTGGAATTTGGATAATAGTTCACATGGACTCATATTCACATCCTCTTGTGAAACATATGAAGTTGTGCCTTCCCATTTTTTGTACCAATCAAAAAAATGCCTGCTCTGCATTTTCAAGGTTATGGAGTGACAGTTTGTTGAGTAAAGATCTCCTTTCATTCCATAGTGCATGCTTCTCATAAATCAATCAGTCATTTTGAACCATAGCCCAAAGAACAGAGGAAGTATCAAATGTGTCCATTATTAAAGTAGAAATTTTAGACATCCCATCACTGAGAAGCTAAATTGGAACTCAATCAACAAAAGTTGATGCTATTGACCTCAAAGATATTAATGTTTTATGCTGCATTTTTGTAGCTCTAAGCACTAAATTTATTACCTGCTCAAAATGCAAGCGAAAAAAAAACTGACAGGTAAATAAAGAAAACACAGTTGTAAGAAAAACTATTGTATTCTCATGCTTCAGGAAGGTAGCACAAATAATTTGGAAGAAAATGAAAAACTAAAATCACATATTATGTTACTGAGAAATGGATAACACTGTTGTGCCTGACTCATCTTTGCAGCTAAATGATTTGCATACAAATGCCACACACAGAACTACTATGTTGTATCTTTACTTCCTTGAGTAGCTGCCTCTAGAGGTTACCAAAACTGCTGAAAGCTTACAAAAATTATGTTATAAATCTACTATAAATAAAAACTTGGGAGGTGAAGGTTAAAGTTCTGTAAGTTCCAAAAGAATACCTCCTGATTTTTCCTCCTACTTCTCTCCAGCCTGTAAGTTTAAAATCTCTGAGGCTTACTCAATATTACCCAAATCCCAAGTATTATTATTTCAATTGCTCTTTAATTTAATGGAAACATTCTTGGTGACTGAGTATGGCAGCAAATTAACGACTTTTGTTAGTGTCAAAATCTCAAGAAAATCTTTCGTCCCATCCTCCTAACTCAAAAATATTCATCAGAGCCGTAACTGTAAGTTAAGGACATTTTTCTTACCCATGTAAACACTACACATACACTTACAAAAACCCCGAGCTTGATTAAAGTAACAAGCTTTGTATAGTTTCTGAACAAAAATCTCCTTTAAAACCACAAACCATTCAAAATCTGTCACTCTCCTCCAGGAAACAAGAAAATGCTGATGTGCCCATCGTGGAACAAAACAGGTTCTTATTTCTGCAGTGCTAATTTCAATCACACCAATAGTTCTACCACAATCTGAGTTATATTAGTGCGGATTAGTAACTCAGACTAGAATGCACTGTGGCCATAAAACAGCATCTCTGGTGGTTGTGCAAGATTTAGAAAGGTAAGAGTTTTACTGTTTATTACTAAATCAGTAAGTCTAACAGCAGTTATTAACCTACCCCAAAAGCACTGTTTTACCTTCCATTTTAAAAAGAATCAATTAACATGAACACTGGTCTTGTTCAGAGAGTGCATTTTAGAAACATGAAGAAGCACACAAATGTCATATTCTGTTCATTACATGGGCACTTGTAAACTCAATTTTCTTCTTACTTTTGTGGAAGGTACAGGATCCTAAAATAAATACAAACAGTTTAGAAACACATTACAATGTAATTTTTAACTTTAGTATATTTAATATTTTATTAGATAAAGTAATTAATGTAAAGTTTTGTGTTTTAATAGCTTTGTGCATTTCAGTATGTTCAAATATCTACACCAAAATTACCTTTGGTATATTTTAATGAAGTTTGTCAGAATGATGCTAAATCTGAAAAATCAGCAAACACAGATTTTAACCAGCAGTTCTACATAATTCTCAGTGAGCAAAAGAAATAACTAATTTCATAATTGACTCCACTATTTATTTTGGGGTTTTTTTTAGCTTTTTCACTCTTTTAGGCACCATTTCCACCAGGTTCTGTGGCTCACAGCAGCCTATCCTGGAACGTTGACTTTCATTCCACTGTAAGAAATCGAGGACCTTGTTTGTCTGCATATCCAGTCACCTTCTGCTGCTTGTGACAATGTCTTACAGCTTCTTAAGTGGATTGTTTTTCTCCAAGTCATGTATTCTCATCTCTACAACTTCCCAAAAAGTTTGTTCAAAAACTTCACTGTTGCGGTGCACATGAATCTTTATCCCATTTATGGACTAGAATAATTTATCAACAGCTTGGACTTATTTTTTTCCCGAGTTAATAGTTCACACACGCTTTTCTTAACTCTCTCTCCAAACTTAATTAATCCATTTTCTCTCATAGTTTTCATTTTTACCTCTTCTGCCTATTTTATATCTCAGGAAGCCTTTTTCAGTATGTTTTCCTCATGTTGGAAAGCCCAGGAAGTGCTGGTGAATGGAGTTACATCCAGCTGGTGGGCCCTGGGGATCATCCCCCTTGGCACTGGTGAGGTCACACCTCAAATCCTGTGTTAATTTTTTGCTCCTCACTCCAAGAAAGACATTGAGGTGTTGGAGTGTGTTCATAGAAGGACAATGAAGCTGGGGAAGGAACTGGAGCCCAGGTCTGATGAGGAGCAGCTGAGGGAGCTGGAGATGTTTATCCTGGAGAAGAGGAGGCTCAGGGGAGACCTCCTCACTCTCTACAACTCCCTGACAGGAGGGGCGAGCCAGGTGGGGGTCAGGCTCTTCTCCCAGGGAACAAGTGACAGGATGAGAGGAAATGGCCTCCAGCTGTTCCAGGGGAGGTTTAGATTGGATATTAGACAAAATTTCTCCACCAAAAGGATAGTCAGGAATTGGAACAGGCTGCCCAGGGAGGTGGTGGAGTCATCACCCCTGGAGGTGTTTAAAACGTGTAAATGTGGCACTTAGGGACATGGTTTAGTGGTGGGTTTATGGTTGGACTTGATGATCTTAGAGGTCTTTTCCAACCTAAATGATTCTGTGACTCTATGCTACAAACCACTCTTCTCCCCCATATTTACCTGCTTGGTTTTTTAAAAACCACTTTGTGAATATTTGGGAAATTCTCTAATAATTGAATCCCAACTTCTGATTCAGTGTAAACTCCATGTATTCTAGTAAGTGCTGCCAATTCTCAAAACACAGCAAAGGTCCTAACACACCCAAAAACCTCAATATGCTACAAAAACTAATGTTTAGTGTATGTATGACCAACCAATATATGTTGTAATAGCTATCTTTTAAATCAACATTTTTGTGCTTGTATACTATGGTTATTGCTACTGAAGTACCTAAAGCTTTTAAAAATTTACAGAATAACTGAAATTATATCTTGCATGCTTTCCAAATGCCAGCCTTCCTGAACCCCCAAAAATTCCTCATTGTGGTATGTGACAGTATTTGATTTTTGAAAGCAAAAATTCCTCCCTGCATTTTGTCGTTGTAGTGTATGAATATATTTGCTTTTCCTGGGATTTTTGAAGGAAATAAAACTTCAGAATTATAACTCAGACTGTGTGAGTCTGCATACAAAATGTAAAACACAGAAAGAATGTCTAAGAAGGCAAAGAACTGGAGAACCCTGCAAAAGGGTAATCCATAAAGTTGGAAACAGGCTGAGATTAAGAAATGTCACATTGCTTGAAATCCCTGAGGGGAAAGACACAGAAGGCATTTTATAAAAATGGATTATTAAGGTGGTGAAGACAGACAATTTCTACTTCCTTCTGGAACAAATCACAGAAAATAAAATGTCTGAAAATGAAAGAAGATGTTTCACTCAGAAAAAACAGTATTTTCTGAGCTCATGTCAGAGAAGCAAATAATTATATGCCTCATATACAAAAATCAAGAGATAATGTAAACTAATACAAAAATAAGCTATATACAGTATGTGCAGTGCAAACTGTACTGCAGTAAAGTGAAATGTAAGCCATTAAACTGGAATAGCAAGCTTTAAACCAGAATGGTCAGTACAGCAAAAAAAACAACCAAAAAATATTTTCTCTTGATGTTTAAACTGGCTTCATGACATTAACATACTTCTAATTTTTTCTGATTTAGCTAATGTGATACCATTTTAGCAGATGCTGAAGTCCATATTAATTATCACCTAAATCATTAAAGTTTTGCTCCAATTTAATATAAAACTGAAAATTCTTTTTCCTTTTAGTTCTCAAAAAATGTAGTCATAATACATTCCTCCAGCGCAGGAATTTTTGATATGAAGCTTCATGATATGTAAGAGTCAGAAATGGATTTAAAGTAAGATAAATTCTTAGGAAAGTAAGAGAAGGGCATAATAATGTGTACTCATGTCATTTTTGCATATTCACACTCACAACCCTGAGAACAACTTAAATCTTTCTGACAAATATGTGTTGCAAGAATATCCACACAGGTATCGAAACCACTCACTTCCAGAGTGTCAGAATGCCTCCAAAAAACCAAAATGGTGAGACTTACCCCATTCAAAGGGAACGTTTTCCACCCCAGTTCTCCAAGAGCAGCTGTGGTATCAAGTAACACAACTGAAAATGGAAAAAGAAATGGTGTGTTTGTGGTATTGCTTGGATTAGACAAACACAATTATTAGACGCAGCAAATTATTAAACCCCCATAGACTAAACTTGCCATATTAGCCAGGTACATTTCAGCTTTCACGGTTTACATTTCATTACCTACTAAATTTCTTAACACATATACCTGGAAAAAACCCCCACACCCTAGATCTTTTGCAGAAATCATTGTCAAATCACAACACACTACTGATATTTAACCATTAAAAGGTGTCCGAATAAACATGCTCATTTCTGCAAACCCCTGCCTGGGAATCTAGAAGTTCTGCACATGGACTTAAGCATTAAAGCTAATAAAATAAAGATACACAGAGTTTCAAAATTAAGATTTTTTTTTTTAAAAAGCCATAAACTTCACAGAAATAAAGTTATACAATATACAAATTGTATAACTTGGAATATAGAGAGACAAGCAACTTCAGTTTCTATTTTAGCTGGAATATCAGAGTCTTGAAAGCTGCTACAATATTTTGCATCAGTTCTGTAATATTTATTATTTGACATAAGACAATGTGCATTATTGTATTTATATACTAAAAATGTTTCTGAATTATTTTAATACGCTAAATTACATTAGTGAATGGAAAAGAAAAATGAAGCTAATGATAAACAAAATATGCAGCACATGAGACATTCTACCCACATGTACTACTGCCCTCTAATGGAATTGTTTCATCAAACCCTCTAATTTCATAAAACTAAATTACAATTTAAACATAAAATTAAGTATTGCATAGACAATTTAATTATCACATTGGTGTGTTTTGAACACTCCCTTCTCACAGCCCACAAACTCCAGTTCTACTGGTTAAATGATGGAGAAAAAAATGATGCTGTATGTTTGGAACATGGCTACTCTATGCATACATTTGTGGGTTTTATATTGTTGTGCACTATCTTCCACCTCTTATCTGTCCAAATAATCAATGTACAGCTACCTGTAATGTGTTTCTATAACATGGGTCAGCACCAGCAGCAGCCAGGTCATGCTTTCTTGCCCTATGGAAAAGGCACCCTGGCAAGGACATAGAATTTTCCAGCTCATTAGAGGAACCTCAACCCAGAATCTTCCTTTGTCTTTTGTATCAGTGACAATTAAAGTTCCTCTTCATTTCAATGTATGTTGACTTTTAACCTGAAGCAGAAGTTTGCTGTCTCATCAGCAGACTTATAAGCAAGTAAGAAGCTTAGCATTAACCAAATAAAAGTTTAATGATTTATTTGAAGAAATTAATGACATTTTAAAATGATATTCAACAAAGGGGGAGTATTCTGCCCTCCACCACGTCATCCCTTTATGAAGCTTTGGGAATAATTTGAGGATAAATTAACCATTTTTTTTGCAATCCCCGTTCTACTTCCAAAAAAATGGGATCGCTATTACCACTGAGACTCTTGCTGGCTTCTGCTTACTTAAAAAGCTGATTTACAGCACTCGCAGTATTTTCTATTTGTGTCAGGAGACTCTTATTGAAGAATCAAGAGAAGCATCTTCCCATTTGACACGTGATGCAGCAGTTTCCTGTGTAAACTGTGTAACATACTGGGAATCTATTGGCTCCAAAAAAATTAAGATACTGGGTTTAGATATTTCCTTTCCATAGAGAAGACCAAATGCTCAGCTGATTTTTGGGAATATTTAAGTTCATTTTATGTGTTTGTTTATTTCTCTCCATCTCTCCTCCACTTCTCTCTCCACCCAAAAAACATAGACTATTTGTTATGTGCTTTGTTTTCAGCTGAGTTTCAAGTTATATCTTCCTCTTTATCAAGTGCTATTCTGATGATAATTCTTTAATACTGGATTAAATAAATAATCAAATTAAATACACTATATGTTACAGCCAAACCTGTGGATCTGAAGGCAGAAACAAATTCTTTCTACAAACATCATCAGAGTTTAAAGTATCATTTCAGTTTTACAGTTTTTGTGGTAGCAGGATCAAAGTTTAATAAATATCACCCAGGTATTCAAAAGTAATACTTCCATGGAACAAGCCCTAAAATACAGGAAGGAAAACTAATTCATTTCTTCAATGGAGCCTGAATTAATTCCTTGCCTGAATTAATCAAGTACTACTTGAAAGCTCAGAGCTATACATTAAAAAAATTAAGAACTAGAGTAAATTCATCACTGAAAGTATATTAAATTTAGATTTAGTTGAACCATGATCTAATATTTCTTATACACATTTATAAATGATCCCCAACAAATAATTGAATTTTGTTAAAATGCAGTTTTTTATGCATGTTACATACCAAGCCTCCTGAATGCTCATATAAGTTCACTTATAACTGAAAAACCTCAAACTGGAGAATTCAAATAACCAAACTCCCAACCAGGATTAAACTGGCATCACCTTCAGAGTTCAAAATGAACATTGTAAAATTTAAGAGACTGTCTTCGCAACAGTACTTGTATTACAAGGCAGTAAATAGTTATCAATCAAAACCATGTAAATACTGGCACATCAAGTAAATATTATGTTTATGCCACAGAAATCCAAACTCCAGTAAAGCTGTGAAATCAACAGAGCCTGACATAGAAATGAGGACATGGATAGAGTAATAAAACCCTCACACACTTGAGTGATTTGGAGATGTCTGCATGATAGACTTCAGTGTGGGGCAGAGGTACCCAAGCTCTCTCGAAATGAGGTAATTAAGAAGCAGTCTATCCCCAGCAGCACAGACCTGATGGCAGACAAAGCTGCGCTGCCAAAAAGCTTCCAACTCACAGAAAATTCCGGCTGCCAAAGATATCCAGACTAAGAGGAATGTACACATCTGAACTGCAGGCAGGGATGAGCTTCCCCTCTGACTGCGGGAGAGCAGAAGTTTCAGAAGAACTGGAAATCTGCATGCAAAGAGACTAAAGGGAAATGGTGGATGATACTCAAAACAAGGAAATCCCTAAAAAGTTAACGGAACCAGGAAGGCACATTTACTGACCCTTGTCCCTCTGTTTCCTTCTTTATACTCCTTTATTTTATTTAATGGATTCTAATGGATTCAACCCTTGCTGAGTTGTAAGGGAGCCACAAAGATCATCCAGTCCAACTCTTCAGTGAATGGCCCATATAAGGAATGACCCCACAACCTTGGCATTATTAGCACCATGCTCTAACCAACTGAGCTAGTTGTATTTATAGACCATAAAAAGTCTCATTCCTCTTAAATGAGGCTCTATGAAAAGTGGCCATTCTGGACAAGCCAGCATAAACAAAAGTGTCTGGAACTACTGCAGTTAATATTGATGATGACTTCTAAGGACATCAGTTGCAACTAAGCAATGGCACTGACATTTCTGCACCCACTCCATGTGGGGCAGCCACTTTTCTGAGGTGACATGGAGTGTAAAACCTGCAGAGCTGAACAGGAGTGAAAGAGCACAGGTCTGCCATTACAAAGTCATGTGTCATAGTTTGGAATTGGCCCCCCTGAGAGGCTGGGGGGGCTCAGAGGTGATTGGGTGCCAGGGCAGTGTTCCCTGGAGAGCCAGTCACCACTCATGTTGTTTGCTTCTGCTCAAAATCACATATCACAGCACTGGAAGCTGTTGGCAGTTCTGTCTTGGTTGTTTTGCTGTTGGTGTCTGCTGCGTGTAGGTGGACAAGGCCAGTGGGTGGCTGGGCTCTCTCTCTCCCCCTCTGGGGGGGAGAGGGGAGCCCTGCAACCCCCCAACTCAGCCTTTGTCTAGAGTTAGAGTCAGCATTTGGAGTGTGTGCTGTGAAGGAAGAGATTCACAGCACCCGAGGTAAGAGGAGAGAGGCAGGCTTTGCAGCCAAGCCCTCTCTCCTCCCTCCTTTTCTGCAGTGAAGCTGTAAGTGGAGGAGAGGCTCAACATTGAAGCTGAGCCAAGAGACTGGGCCGTGGAGATAGGCCCGGCGCTCGGGGAAGAGTCCCAGGTGAAATTGGAGACGAGCCCAGAGCTCAGGAGCTGCTACCAAAGCTGACCGGGGGCAGCCGAGAACTGATGTGGAGGAAGGAAGATTCCAGGACGTGGACGCTTGATAAGCTACACTGCAGCAGCCTACGGACCGAGGGGAGACCCCGAGAAGGAGAAATCATCAGCAGTAGAAGAGCAAGGACTCACAGCTGTCTTCTTGGACTTCATGAGGAGAGAAACAACTGGAACTTGGTGAGGAGTGAGTGTTCAGGAGCCCAGAACACTCCCACAGCAAAAGACTGTGTTACACATCAGCCTTGAAAAGCTGCTCCTGGACTAAAGTTAAAAGAGGGGCTTGAAAGGACTGACTGATAGAAATATATATATATATATAGTTGCCTTTAGTTTGTATAGTATTTATTTGTGTAAATAAATGTATATACTTCCCCCTTCCCCTACAGAAGCCTCTGGTCTGAAAGTTTCTCTCCAATGTTAGGATAAATTGTGGGAAGGGGTGGGGGGAGCCTGAACATTGGATTTTTGGATTTCTAATGTGGCTCAAATTGCCACACATGTAAAGAGCCAAAATGAACTCAAAAGATCCCTCAAAAAATCTCTTTGGACAAAAAGATTAAGCACTTGAATATCCTTCCTTCAATAACTGAGCCAGGGACACTGCCACTTGCCCAACAATCATATACAGATTCAAACATACACCTGTAAACCTCTTGTTTTAGTTAAGTGCCCCGTTCATTTAGAAGTGTTTAGCTTTGTTTTCCAGTACATACTTTAATAGAAATTACACTATTATAATTCATTATGCCATATTGAGCTTCAGTTTCTTTTGGAACATATCTTACACTGCTATTATTAGACTTTACAACTGAAATTAATCTTTTCAGAGGTTTTGCCTGGTCCCCAGGGAACTGTTTGATTTAAAATTATGACAAGCAGAGCTCCCAAGGACTGACAGTGTGGAATTTTAATTCTGATTCCAAAATACTCTTCTGAAGATGAACTCTGCAATTGTGTCTGTACAGCCAAAGAAAAAGCTTTCTAAACC